TCCAAAGCAGAGAAATTACCTTTTAAGGCAACAAACGGACAATAAATGAATATTCAACAGCTGATATCGAAGGGTACAAAAAAGCGCGGTTTTCAAACAGCGGTGTACTCTTTGTATGATTCAGAGGTGCACCCAGTGCTGGAAATGGGTACCCAGCGCTGCAATAAAAATCTCTTGCTATATTTCTTTGTCTTGCAGGTATTTTTGCCTTCTTCAAAATTCAAGAAAAGAATTAACTTATAACAAGCTGTTTCTCTTCCTTTTCCACTCTTCCACCTGAAGTGTCTTAATTTCTAAGTTGTAATCTTGCTAAACTAAGACAAGTGGCCTGAGAGTCAGGCGGGAGGGGAGTGTGTCTAAAAGTATGACCATGGGAGGGATGGATATTAGAAGGACCGGGGAGTTCCAGACAGATGTTCGGGGGTGGGGAGGTGGGGGTTGGTTTGTGTGTCTCTATGGATGAAATGTGCTGGGGGGGAGCGGGGGTGTCTAAGGGCAATACCATGAGGGGGGTTGACTACCAGGGAATCAGGGGAGCCTCAGCCAGGTCTGTGTGTATGTGCATGTCTATGTGCCCAAGATGATCTGTACCAACAAGTGGAGTAGGACTGTGGCCTCTGGGGCTCATATATCCAGGTAGCAGCAACTGGGGACAATGGGTTCCAGAGAGAACCTAAAGTGTCACAGCAGTTGTAATGACCAAAAGCTGTTAAAGACAGTAGCTTTATGTCTCACATGAAAGACATTTTGTGCAGCAGTAGTACATAGTGTGAGAAATAAAAGATCGGTTTTATTATAAGCAGATAAAATGAACAAAGAGTACTAACAAAGGGTTATTTTTGTTTTTCTTATTACTAACCTATAGGCATTCCGTGGAAGTTGTAAGGCATACAGTTCAGTCTTGAAATGTATGCCAGGGACTAAGCGTACGGGAATAGGGCAATTGCATATTGACTGGAAATATGGTTGACCCAACTTCATGCCACATGTATGGCCATGCGGGCAGATGGAGGCGACCATGTTGAGGGGCACAGGTGAGCCAATCCAAGGAGGAGAAACACTCCCCACCCCACCCCCCCACCCCCCCATGTCGTAAACAGGGTTGGACCTTAGTGATACCTTGGAGTTCATAGAATCATAGAATCATAGAATAGATTGGGTTGGAAAAGACCTCCAAGATCATCAAGTCCAACCCCTGATCCAACTCCAATTACTATACCATGGCACTAAGGGCCACATCCAATCTCTGCTTAAAAACCTCCAGGGATGGTGAATCCACCACCTCTCTGGGTAGGCCGTTCCAATGCCTGATTACCCTCTCCGTAAAGAATTTCTTCCTAACATCTAACCTAA